CAGCTGTACACACACAAATTTAGTAATTATTGATTACTGGATTACTGGTGGATTTGGCAACATTTAAGATATTTTTTTTTTAAGAGAGTTCTGATATCTACTTTATAATTTCGATTTAGAGTTGATTCGTCTTAAGGCACTATCTTAACAAAAAAGTCTGTTATATATAACGAGCTTTTATTTGTGGTCATCTACCAATTCAGATTTTTACTTACTTTTTTGTTACCACGTTTCATACTGGAAAACTTAAGTTAACAGAACATGGTGGAATGAGTTCATGTTTACATTAACAACAAAATAATATACATAGAAAAAATATAGTTTCATTAGTCATTACTCTCGAGAAGACATTAATATATTTGACACGGGAAGCAATTTATAACACCGAGGGTCATTTTATCAAAGTCAAGATAATTCGTGGGATAAATTTTAACTTTAGTATATATATAAGTTCTAAAGAAATAATTGATATTTACGAAACTTCAATCGATGTCATTTGAAGAGTTTGCTAAATTTGTTAAACCATTTTTTTATTTTCATTCCATTTCCTTACACTTAGATCAGCTGCAAACGTTCTGCAGTTCTATTTTTTTATAAGAATAGCCTCGAACTCAACTTTGAACGCAGCACTATCATAGCATAGAAATTCAATCGAATAAAACCTACTTCAAAGATAATCTTTTTTTTTATTAATTCATTTAACAAAGTAATAAAGGATTTATTTCATTGTAGCTCTAGTTGTCATAGTACAGCGCTGTTCTCGACGTCGAGTAGAACCTGATTTTATCACAAAATAACATGCTTTATTTAGTGAGTGCCTCCAATCTTTTTTTTTCATCTCTCCATCTAAAACTTTTTGGTAGTTCATGTAGTGTTTCTTTAATTGGCCATTTCATTAATTCTGCTAAAGGTAGTTTGACCATGGTCAAGGCGACGCCGCCAACAAACTTTGACATTGGTGAAATAATAAATATAATGTCAATATTTAAATATTGTTAAATTTGCATACATCAATAAAATATGGTTTGATTTATTTATTTGATTATGAAATGTAATATCATATCTTATATTTTAATTAATGTACTAATCGTGTGAAACTTATTCTATGTCAATGATTTTTATGATAATATGAACTCATCAGACGACTCTTGATTTGTATTTTACACATTTCCAGTTGCAATTTATTAAATAATTGTTTGTTTATACCCTAATACTTAGAATTCTAATTATAATTTACCAAGAACCTTTTAACTTATGTCACCTTGGAATAACCAAGCTCACATAGGTAATAAGGAAGGGGAAAGAGTCTTATTTCAAATCGAGACCTAACTACTAGGTTTAAACCATAAGTAAAATGGTATTCAAGTTTTTTTTTTTATTAGTGAAAAACTGATTCATTTTAACAATCTATAGGTGTAATAAATATACAAATCGTATTATAAGCAATTCCAATTAATTATATGAACAAAAAAATATTTTCTCGAGCTACTCCGTGCTTCGGAAGGCACGTTAAACCGTTGGTCCCGGCTGTATTTGCAGTTGTTAATACCCTTCAATACGCATTGGACCAGCGTGAAGGGTCATGGCCCATCCTCCTTAACCTCCCATAAGAAAGGCCTGAGTCCCAGCAGTGGGAATGTAAAAGGGCTGATGATAATGATACTTTCTTTTTTATCTAGCTTCTTTGTATTGTGTCCTATATAATGTGCAAATAAGCATATAAAATTATTAAATAAATAGACATTGCAGAAAGGTTTAAAGTTATGCAATAAATCCAACTGTAAATATAAACGCCTAATAGATGATACACAGCGCAAATTATCTTTTTTAATTACATTCTTAACAATATCTATTTGACCTATAGTGTAATATTGTAGAGCAGATGAGTCAGGGGTCGCGGCTGCACTCACGCGCGCACCGTAAGTCACGAGTCACAGATTAAGTGCCCGAGCCACAAGCGACAGCGGATAGTTATAAAGCTATCCAGAAAATTGATTTTGCTTTATAATAAATAACTTATCAAGGGATACTGTTTTTAGAAAAAACAACATAACGATATATTGTTATATTGTGACCTTGGGACTCAGTCTTATTATTTTTAACTATTATCATCCTATACCCATTAAAATAAGTATCTACTTAATTTTTTTCCTTATTCCATAATGCCGAGAGGGTAAATATTATCACATACGTTGTACTATAGAAACTACTACTAAAAGTTAATGATCTTGTACCTATTCTTCTAGACAATCAAAAGACGTCCAGCACGGGTAGCATGAGAAACTCGAGAAACACTTTGTCTACACTCATTTGTCAGTTTCTCGGGTCAAGAGTGAGATATAGTATGGGCGCCCCCGAGAAAAGTGACATTAGAGTGTAGACTAAACGCTCCCGAGTTCATCATGCTACGCGTGCTGGACGGGTTAAAGGTAAAACTTTTGGACGATTTGGTGCTTTCAATAAGTTTATTTGAATAAAGAACACTTTTATTTTAATTAATTGAAAAAAGTCTATAGTTTCGATGGTTCTAAGAATAGTGAAACTATTGTAACAAAACTTATTTGCGGCAGAGTTTATGGTGAACCGCACCGCGTTTACACATAATATATTCTGATAATTCCGCGATCATTTGCACCTAACATTCAATAACCATTATTGTAGCTATCACGGCCCTCTAATTGAGATTTATAAGCATAAACATTTGTGATAAGTATCGCAAGTTCGTTAATTACAAGATACAACGCTTTTGACATTCCACAATGCGTGTTGTGACCGCACGAGAATCTATAAATTAGTTTGTTTAACAATCATAGATCAGTTCGTTAGACACCCTAATAGGTCAGGCTCAGGGTTATGAAATGTTATTGTAATTAGCAAAATACATTTCGACAATAACCTTTTCGGTGACTAAAATAATTAATGCTTTTTACAGGCATCGACATAAAAGTTTCTTCACTGGATTTTATTTTTTAGAATAAGGGGTGACTAAAACAGTCTATTTTAAAATATAAATTGATTCAATGCAATATTTTATTAATTCTATTATAAATTAATATCTACTCGTCCCGAGTATCTGTATATATGAACAGTTCAGTCTGTTTTGTTGTTGTTTTGGTGTCTTATAGTCGTTGGTGCATATATTTTTTTAAACCTTTATAATAATTAAACAATTTTTCGTCAATTTATGCACTGCTTTGGGGACTTATTCATCAAAAACTCATTAATGAATTAGGTGCAGGCATAGATGGAAAATTTTTAGTAGATAACAAGTCGCAACTAAAATGTGAAATAGTGCTTTGGGGAAATAGTTCAAATGTAAATAAACTCTTTATTATGCAAAAAAAGTGTGTCAGGATAATATCCCAAATAGACAATACTCAATCTTGTAGAACTTATTTTATCAAATTTATCTTGTTTAGGTAAATATAATATCCTTAAATATATACATAGAAACTTTTATTAAAGCCAAATATACTTACGGCAGTCTATAATTAAAATGCTAAATACAAATGCCCTTATAATATGTCAATTAAAATATATAATAAACTATCAAACTACATAAAGAATGAAACAAATTCAAATCTTTCAAAAGTAATAAAATTCTTCCTTATTATTATAACTATTTGATAAATTTTTAATTCATAACTGAATAATATTCTTAATTAAAAATGCTACTACTCTAAATGAGTACCTACATGCATGAGGTATATCGTATGGCATCTGTTTGCTACAGCCAGTTAATAAAAAAAAAGTAAAATATATAACTATTACAAATAATAATTTAAACATTCATTAGCCCTTTTACGTCCCCACTGCAGGGGCTCAGGCCTTCCTTATGGATGGTTAAGGAGGATGGGCCATGACCCTCCACGATGGCCCAATGCGGATTGGAGGGTATTAACGCCTGCAAATGCAGCCGGGGCCAACGGCTTAACGTGCCTTCCGAAGCACGGAATAGCTCGAGATAATAATTTTTTGGTCACCCATCCCGTGACCGACCCTTGCGAAAGTTGCTTAACGACTACGATCGCGAGCCGCGGCGCTTATCCACTACGCCACCGAGCTACTCATATTAAATTTAAAAATGTTTATAATGCCCTTATAATATGTCAATTAAATGTCAATTTAATGTCAGTTAAATATGTCAATTTAAACATATTAAATTTAAAAATGTTTATATGGACTTTCAACCGAAATTGGTATACCTAACTGTAACTAAGTTCTTAAGGTCTATATGTATTGTACAACTGTATGTACCAACATTTAGTTTGCAAGTTTAGTTTGCTTTTGACTTTGACTTTATAAAAGTACAAATACCTAGTTCATCGCACTCCCGGTGCGACACTGTCACTTATGCAAAAATTTAGTTTTTCAGGAGAAGAGTTTTAAACTCTGTCACCTCACAAAACAATGATTTTAGCAGATACAGATGAGATGACTCATACGGAACTATGCGTACTACAAAAGTAACATTATCGCACCAAGTAAAGGGGTGCTTTAGGACAATTATTACATATTTAACTAATTTTTGTATTTTTTGCAAAAGTGACAGTGTCGCACCGGGGGTGCGATATGATATAATCTTATCATATTCATGTTACTTTACACTTTTTTTACACAAAATAAAAGACACGTAGTAACCCGCAAATCCAAAATTGTTATTCAGAACTGTGTATTTTTTTATTAAAAAAAAAACTAATAATGGATGTTCATAAAACAATATTTTGCTCGGAAGATCAATTTTCTGTTTGCGGGTTACTACGAGTTTGCTTTCCAGCGTCGATATTCACTCAACATCCTAATAATAATAAGGTAAAGAGCTTTAATGTAAACCTTATTCGTTTATTATCATACAAATAAATATTTATATGATATTAAATAAATAACACGGACTATTTCTGAATCGAAACGCACTCGAAATTACAGCTTTAAATGTAGGTAATTTAAACTTTATTATAAGTATATGATCTTTTCATTAACAATTAAATGGTTTGTTGCAGGCGATTGGACATGTGTCCGGTGGTCATATAAATCCTGCGGTCACATGTGGATTATTCGTATCCGGGGACATCAAACTATTGAAGGCCATCTTCTACATCCTGGTGCAGTCGTTGGGAGCCGTTGCTGGCGCTGCCTTCATCAGGGTGAGTAGCAGCTGCATATACCTTCTTTATTATTATTATAATCTATATAAGAAGATCGATGGTTCACCGGTATTCGGACTGCAATGCGAAAATCAGGCAAATCAGGCATGATGTTTTATATATAATACAAGAACACGCGGGCGAAGCTGCTAGCGGAACAATAATCACATCTTAATAGAATCTCATATCGCACGTTGAGAATGACAATGTCACTTAACAAAACATACGTATTTTTTACTTTTGGCAACATTTTTCTTTGTTAAGTATAAAATTTAAGACGTAAGACGAAACGTTGTTTAGAGGGGCTGATTACAATTTCTTGAACTTTAAACGCTCATTACTTAAAATCGCATTTTTTGCATTGTGTTTCTAACGTTCTCAACGTACGATATATTTATTACATATATTTTGTCATTGTACCTACTATGTACCTGTATTCCAACATTATTATTATATACCAATATTATATATCTGTCACCATTGATTTGAAGGAAGACCTAGCACTTACAATATTGAACTTCGGGTAGATAGTGCAATGGTAAAATACATGTAGTCGAGATTCTATTGAGACGTGAAAATTAGCAGAATTAGCCTTCTGGAGATAATCATTGACCTCCACACTCATCGTTTTGCCATAATATAATTACTTATAGACATAATTTATAATGTTCCACCACGGCGACATTCTAAACACCTTATATGAATGCATGTATGCTGACACTGGCTCTAAATCTGTCTTGCTTGCCCTGACACTGATGATGTATAAAGAACTGGTGCACAGACCTTGCTAGCATATCACTATTTGCTGATTGAGTAAAGCTCGTGGAAATAAAGCTATCCATTTTCTTTCTTACCAAAGTTTTTGTTGATCAATTCTTAAAGCTTGAACCTTAAAATCTGTACTTAAAATTCAGTAGTTCATTATAATATTCGAGATACTTAACAAGACTGCGAAATTTACACTAATCAGTAGTGAATTTTTAAAGTCAGCGTCCTGATTCCCTTGCTGCTCCACTTTAATCTAATCAGGAGCTTATTTTTAGAGTCAACTGACATCGACTTATGCTAGTCGCAATTTTTTTACCCGTGTGTGTATTGTCGACCACGGGATGGGTGACCAGAAAATTATTATCTTTAGCTACTCTGTGCATCGGGAGGCGGAATTTGCACGCGTAACACAGCAGCACGTTAAGCCATTGGTCCCGGCTTTATTTGCAGTCATTAATACTCTCAAATTCTAAATATTTAGCCTTTTGTATTAAAATGGCGTCCTAACGATGTTATCTAAAAAAAATCCTCAAAATGTAAACATATGTACTTAGTAATCAAATACGTTTTCTCCATTAGCACGCGTAACGCAGCAGTTAGAAAACTGTCCTCCTCGAGTTTTCCCTTCACTTTCCATTAAATAATGAGGGACTTCCCCAAACAATACTTAAGAGTAAATAACCTAGCGTGTTTTCATAAAACGTCCCATAGAACGTTTCCCACGTCTATTGTCGATCATGTAACATGGATCCATTCTTCTTGGCATCATTGTGCGCTATTATAGTGAGCTGATAGCTATCGTAGAATGATATGCGTGCATACATTTAAACGGCCATGCTTTAATCTGAAAGTTCGATCTGTACCTATGATAGAAACAAAAATAACAATAAGTAGTTGCATTATTTTTATTATATTATATATTAATTGCACAATACAAAGAAGCGAAATAAGAAAGAATTATACAAATAGTTTTTGCTAAGCAGCAATCTCTTCCAGATAACTATGATGGAATAAATAAACAATGAACATAGAGCGGTGGGTGCAAGTCGATGTAATAATAAATAGGTATTTAACTATTATTTTGTGAAAATTTAACTTAAACGCTTACATTTTAACTGTCAAGAAATAGCAACCAAAACTGCAATTAAAAAAATGAAATCCATAAACACCAACTTAGTGATTGGAAATAAGGACCCAATCGTTAAAATTGGTTCACCTACATGAAGTTACATCATATCCTCGTAAATTATAGCCAGATGGCTATAATGGTGAAGTCGCGGGGCCACGGATAATCCAAAAAAGGATTTTACATTATTTTTTAATGATTGAATAATTTTGTTACAGTTAGCTGTGCCCGAAGCAGTAATAGAAAATGGTTTTGGTTTGACATTACCAGGAACAGGCGTTAGCGAGGCTCAGGTACGTATAATAAGTAAGGTAATGTCGCCTAATAAGGCTGTAGTGCGAAAATTATAACTAAATAAGTTTAAAATTGCATTACATTTATCAAGAGAGAGAACTTCGTCATTATTATTTTCATTATTATCATTATTTTTGCCAACACAGAGGAAAAAAAATGTTTCTATCTTATGTTACAAAAATATTTTCGGTTGTTTAGATAATCTAAATAAATTATAGCGAAAGTAACAAGCACTGGAGAAATTCGACAGACTGGCTTTAGGTCTTGGTAATATAATTTCACTTCTAGACACGCAGTTACATGCAGGACCTTAAATCCGCGTCGGGCACCTGTTTGGATGAATTATAATGCATATTCCTATAGTACTGCTAGATAGATTAAGAGTTGTCATTTTCTGATAATTTCGCTAATGTATGTGACAATTACGACAATTAGTACAGGTGAAGTATTTCATCACTTATCACATACCTAAGTACATATTTCAAATCAAAACCTATTTTTTTCAGTTATTGATACTTATAAATCAATAAATCTCGTACTTATTATTATATTATTAAGACATTTTTATAGACATACTAGCTGACCCAGCCACGCAGTGTTACCAGCACTACTATAGTAACAGTTTCCTGCATTGATGCCGCTGTTTTCTATTTCATTCCTATTTTTTTACTGTTTTTCAATTAGCGGTTGCGTCCTGTATTACACTATGCATAATCCTAATACACGGAAATCCGTATACAAATATCGATTTTAAGTTGAGCTACGTTATTTTATGTCTCGCAGCGCCTCCTTTTGATAGAGCAAGAAATACTACTTCATTGTTATAGAATAGTTGATAAGTCGTGTTAACTTATCCTTATGCCACGGCCGAGTTGCTAACACGCATTACCGCTTTTAAATCCCAGTCGGTTCTATACAGAAATTAATATTTCTATATTGTCTCGGGTTCTGTAGTCTCGAACATTTGTTGTTCCATGAAAATGAGAAACTATTAATTTTAATCTCTTTTTTCTGAATAAAATGTGAATAACTCTCATATAAGCTTACCCTGTGTAATGAGGCGTAGGCTACTCGTTATATTTAAATATACATATTGTAAAATAGCTAAATAGATAATAAAACGGCTGGATCGTATTCCAATAATACAAATACCTATTTGGGGTCTGAGTAATGTAAGGTGCTTTCGTCTATTAAGGTCCTTTTTTGTCTGCTAAAATGTTAAAAACTACCCTTATTACTTAGCTAAAGCGAGAATGTAATTCACTCTAGTTGGTTTTTAGCCCTCCAGCGTCTTGTTTGGCAACAGTGCCTAATTTTGTATGATACCAATACGGCATGTCAACTTCTTATGCCGCGAATATATGCCAATATATATGCAAATATTTGCAAAAAAAATTGCTATGGTGTGTTTCGTCAGGCGTTGCTGATTGAGGCGCTGGTGACATTCCTGTTGGTGTTGGTGGTGCATGGTGTGTGCGACGGCCGCCGTAACGACCTCAAGGGCTCCGCGCCCCTCGCTATTGGACTTACCATTACCGCGTGCCATGCAGCCTGCGTGAGTATTACATCGCTAAAAGTCAAAATTGACTATTCACCCCACACCTATTAGGAGCCTTGCACAATGTTAAAGTAAAAAATATATTTGAACAAATAAACTTGGTACTTTTGAATTGTCCAACATTTTTTCACTTACCATGTGTCTTTTGGCTGATGAAAGGAACGAGAGAAACTCACTAGCTCTCAAAGAAATATCTAACAACATTTACTAAGACTATTAAAAAGAAGAGTGCAATATGAATCTCTGTATGCCTAAGTTAAAGTCTTTTTTGTTCCTCGAAGTTACTTTTAATATAAAAGTCATACAAATCGAACAAGTGATAACATTTAAAAATATGCATGTTACTCGATTCGAATATGTTGTATTTCAAACAGTATCAAATGTAGATATGTAAAAATCGATTTGTTTTAGTTTAAGACCATTGATTTCATTTGTATTACATGTTAATTTATATTGGCTTTATACGCAGATTCCATTCTCCGGATCGAGTATGAATCCAGCAAGATCTTTCGGTCCTGCGCTGGTCATAGGCGACTGGAGCTCACACTGGGTATGTATCATATTGGATTGTCTAATCATAGCCGATATTTATTCAATGTTATTCAATCAGCATTACTATGTTGAATGATAAAAAGCTTATAATTAAATGAAGTTTTATAATTAAATGAAGCTTATAATTAAATAATTAAATGATAATGTTGAAATTTAAATAGTTGTCAAAACATTTTTTTTTTACTATTATACATAAAGTTTGCTTATATAACTATATTATTTATAATGTTAGTAGAATTAGTAAAATGGGAGTTTAAAAAATTACCAATTGAAATCTATATCTACCTATATGTTTTGGATTAAAGCTTTGAGAAATATTAATGTAGAGTGAAGCGTCGTCATGTTTCAGAATTAGTTACTACTTAATATATCCTCTGTTTTTGCGTATCTTTGATATACGTGAGATCTTAAAGCTCGTGCTGCAATTATCTAAGCTTCACTTTCACCCGTCGATATCCTGTCGCTAAATGCTAGAGGGGCATGTGATCAAGGTTTAGAGAGTTAACGTTTCCGACGCCAGAATATCTCCCGTGAAAGTCTGCACAATATAAATTTTCCATAGTCGTAGCATATATAGAAAATAACGGAAAGATATATCAATGCTCTGAAAGAAAAATAGGATTTTGTATCTCATATTTTAAAGTATCTTAACATAAAAACTCGGTAAAGCTTTTTAGATTAAATCTTGAACATACGCGCAGTAAAGTTATTTTCCTTATCTTTATAATTAATCTTACTAGGTATCCTACAATATTAGTACAAATATTTTCAAAGGCTTTTGTGTTTTTGTTAATGGTTTTAAAACTAAGATTTGCCATCGGCAGCATCCGGTTGTCTTAACTATCTAGAGAAAAACTAGCTAATATTTCTTAAAATTGTACACAGTTAACAGTAGGAACAAGTAGGTAGGTACATACAAATTAAAAAATATTGAAACATAGATGAAATTGATTGATAAATGTTCTTTCATCAGATAAAAATGTATAAGCTAACAAACAAAACGGTGTTAAGTAAGAGTGTAAAAGTTCCAAAGTAATGGTCTATTGTTTGTGGCTTTCCCAAGCCATCAGCAGTCACTGCTGTCCTGTCACATCCACTCGACAAAATAGCTATAGTATGATTTTTAGATAACAATGAAGTAATGCATTCTTATATTCATTATAAAGATTTGCGACAGCTAACCTCGAATCTAATGCCGATCAACAGATGAGCAGCCATAAGAGGCTTAATATTTTGGTCATTTTAAGATGTCCTACAAGGGCTCAGACCAAATAAAATAGCAAATAAGTTTTATTTGATCTGAGTACAAGGTAATGTACTTTAATTAGTGTATATTAGTGTCATGAAAGTGGATGAGGCGAAAGCTGTAGGTAGGTGTGTCAGGACCGTACTTTTTGGCGGTCGGTCCTTTCTGTCTACCCCGCAAGGGATACGGTGTAAAGATATTAGGATTTAACTATTATCCAACATTTTAAAGACTGTATTTCAAAAAGTTATATATTAGCCTATTATCTATTATCCCTTCTCTGATTTATAATAAGAATAAGATATACTTAACTGACAGCTCAATTCACTGCAAGTCAAAAATGAATTTTAGTGTTGTAACATATCTAACTCATTTATCCGTTCTGTGATATTGACAAACTGAGTTTTTAATATTTATATATATTTAAAGATATCTGAAAGTTATTATCAAGATTGTTTTGTTTATTTTTCCAATTAAAATAATTACAACCAGTAGCACAAATGCCCATTAATTTTGTTTATTAGTTTAAAGCGCATTACCAAGACATTCATTAGAGCTCAGAGGTGTCATTAAACCTTAATGGACGTTTGTGCAACTGACCGTAGTATCGGCTAGTTAGAATTTTACAAAAAAAAATACTTAAAGAATTTTAAACACAAACTTTATTTTGTGTTTATCTTATTTTGGAAGAGTTCTATTTTTTTGAATTATCACTACAAGTTTTTAACTATAAGGTTAACCAATGTAATGTATGAAATGTAAAGGCATCACATCACGAATGGATCACATTCTATTACTCAGACCACAACACAATTGGCAATCACTAAATACAGTTTAGTCCATCTAATCAAAAATCAGACTATAGTTATAACGCCTTGAAAACCCAAATGGCCAAAGATGAGCCAATAGCAAAACCGGGGCACTTAAAAAGAGACAGTATTTTTATTTAAGGGAACTGTATTAACTGTGGAATATTGTTTCAGGTGTATTGGGTGGGTCCGATAGTGGGTGGTGTTGTTGCCGGACTGATTTATAGGTTCGTGTTCCGCATAGGCAAGAGCGGCGACAGTGGCTCCTACGATTTCTAAACGACCGAGTCTCAATGATAGATCGAGCTTCCCTTCAATGTGCCTTCATTCTCTATGAGCTTCAACGTCTTCATGAGATAAAGCTATTTGAGATGATTATTTGATAGTATTGGGGTAATTTAACATATCTCTTAACTTTGACTCTTCTATTTAAAATATGATAAAGCAAAGTTTTTTTTTTTCATTATTAGTACTTCAGTTAAATAAATGATGAAGTTAATTATACAAATGATGGTTTAAAATTTTACTTTCGAGATTCAAATTATGTTTGTTTAGAGTTGTTATTTTTTATTAGCGATACTATATTTTGTCGTATTAAAGTTTACATCGAATGCTATCACTACACAGATGAAACTTTTTGTTATTTATTTAAAAAAATATTATATATCGATTATAGTAGCACATATAATATATTGTGATGGGGTGAATCGATTCGATGGTTAATTATATTTTGAAACTTCTACTTTCAAAAAGACTATTACTTTGATATTGAAAAACTTAGAATCTTCAGTTCATCCCAACAAAGATTAATATGATTTTTGTAAGATATAAGTTATTAGGGGTTTATACAAATGTTTACCTAAGGCTATTTATATTATGTGAATAAAGTATTATAATTAAGTATACAGATAATTATTCAACATACTGTTGTTATAATGAGTGCCTGAGTTATGAGTGAGAGTACCTACGAGATTAAAGACTCGTCAAGATAGATTATGTGGACATATTATTGTGAAATAATATTATTATTATAAATAAACTTTAAGGAATATGTTTGTATTTTATTCTACCTGATTTTCGTAGTTATTAGGTATTAGCTATTAGCCTCTTTGGACGTACATCCGTATCTATAGTAGTAAGTAAAAGTAGTACTTGAGTAAAGAACTGTTCTTCTTCTTTTTAATTAAAGGCTCAGAATCCAGTGTTTCGCTCAGTTCGAAGAACTGTTAATACTAATAATTATTATTAGCAATTGACAATTCTTATTTCATTAAAAGTCTCGTCTATTGGTTAAAATATCTGCTTAAGTTATACCATTTCCACAAGTTGGTAATTACTTCTCACGACTATAGATACGAGTGTTAGTATCTTCAATACATTCAACTTGGGGTCTAGCCCAGAGGTTGCGTTTGGTGTTGTTGGCGACGACAATGTCGGCTTGTGATTCTTAAGCGGAATAAGTTATATTTACAAACTAACACTGATGATGGACTTGTCACAGATATACTAGCATCAACTATCATGAAGACTGGTCATAGGATGGGGACCAAAAACTTATTCTCTTAAACTCCTCTGTACGTCGTTAAGACCTATCCGTACTGGACCTGCATGATGGATTATGTCTCGTTCTCTACCCAACTCCATCAGGGGGCCAATTCTACTAAATAAATTTTCTTTAAATAGAATCGAAAACGGATCGAAACCAACGAAACTACAGTTTTTAATGGTTTTTGTATTCTACTAAGTGACATACGATACAATTCCAGCTAAAATAGAACTGGTAGTGAGCCTGTGCAGTAGGAGTCTCTGATTAGGCTAGGCTAATAGACGAATTGGCTGATGATGAAAATATTAGGCACAGTAAGTTCGGTAAGTGAATTCTTAATTTACGCAGAGCGGAGCTATTGTACTTATTAAAAACTAGCTTTCGCCAGCGGCTTCGCCCGCGTGGACTCTAGAGAAATGTTTAGTGGGATAAAAAGTATCCTATTATCTAAGTCAGCTAACACCCTATCTGTATACCAAATTTCATCAAAATCCGTTCAGTAGTTTCGGCGTCATTGACGTACAAACATCCAAACAAAGAAACTTTCACATTTATAATATTAACTAGCTTTCGCTTGGTTGCCCCGGGCTGCGAGCAGCCCGGGGAGGTCACGAGTAGCTGGTGGAATCGGGGCGGTGGGGTGTCAAGTCCGCCTATTGTTATGTCGGGTTTACAGTTTGAAATTGCGTAGAAAAGGTCAGTGAGTTCTATCTTCAAATAAAAGGTGTTAAAGGACACAAAGCACCATACATACATCGAAGAAAAAGTGTTGCTAGTTGACACTTAATAGAAAAATAAATATTCAGTCGAAAAACGCAAGCAAAAAATAAAATAAATTTTGTATATATACTTAAAATAAGTTTATGTCTTTTATTCTCTTATTCTTATTTATTAGTAAATTACTGTATAATATTAAAAAACAAACGAACATATATTTCCATCAGTGTTACTATCATTGAAATGTCAAGAAATAGTATTTATTGTATTTGCATTATTAAATTACATTATTTATGTAAGATTTATTTGTTATATGAAAAGGGAACCGATGTCGTGACCAGATATTAGAATAGATCAATTCACGACGCGATGGGGTTTTAAGTCCGTCTTCGTTTCAGAATGGAAGCTTTCGCTTGGTTGCCCCGGGCTGCGAGCAGCCCGGGGAGGTCACGAGTAGCTAGTGGAATCGGTGCGGTGGGGTTTTAAGTCCGCCTCCGTTGCAGAATTTGAGTATTTCGATTTTTTTGTTATGTTTGTTTTATAGATTGAAATCGCCGGCTTCGGCTTGTAGTCATTTATTCTCTTATTCTTATTCAAAAGTAAGTTAATATTTAGTGAATACAGACATTGGAGTTTTAAGACCGCCTCTTGTTATGTTGGGTTTACAGTATAAAATTGCCTAGAAAAAGTTAGTAAGTTCTATCTTCAAATAAAAGATCTTTAATTACGCAAAACATCATACATAAAAAAAAAGATTTCCAATTTACACGCAACATAAAAAGAAATATTCAGTTGAAAAACGTAAGAAAACTTAAAATAAAGGTTGTATACATCGCCTTGTAGTCTTTTATTCTTATTCAATAGAAAATTTCCTAAAAATCATAATATCAAAAAAAAAAAAATGTTTTTATCATCCGGCAATACTTCAACTGAATACATTTTTTTTCTGTAAGTGATCTGAAAAATGTTATCAATAACGCCAAAATCTGCTCTATAAAGTAAAAACCGTGAAAATAACCGTGATACATTTTCTAGCACACTTATAAGCACATTTGGTCACAGTTCCTTAACCGATTGACCAGGTCTCCATTTATTATGGCTCGCTTCGCTCGCTTTTTCTTTTTGTTTTTTTCGCAGATCTAATCTAACCGATTGACCAGGTCTCTATTGATGGTGTCCTTTATGGATCGCTTCGCTCGCATTTTATTTTAGTCATAGTTCTAACCCTAACAACTAACCATATCTCTCTTAACAGTTACTCCTTATGGCTCGCTTCGCTCGCTTTTTGTTTTAGACACGTTGCTAACATAATCGATGGTCTCTCTTAATGGTCTAGCATTATGGCTCGCTTCGCTCGCTCTTTATTTTGGTCACAGCACTTTAAGCAATTGACCAGGTCTCCATTTTTTATGGCTCGCTTCGCTCGCTTTTTGTTTTATTGACAGTTCTAATCTAACTGATTGACCAGGCCTCTATTGATGGTGTTCTTTATGGCTCGCTTCGCTCGCATTTTATTTTAGTAACAGTTTTAACCTTGCCATTTAACCAAATCTCTCTTAATAGTTAACCTTTATGGCTCGCTTCGCTCTCTTTTTGTTTGAGTCACAGTGCTAACATAACCGATTGATCAGATTTCTATTGGTGGTGTTCTTTATGGCTCGCTTCGCTCGCATTTTATTTTAGTCACAATTCTCACCTTACCAATTAATCAAATCTCTCTAATTGGTCACTTTTTATGGCTCGCTTCGCTCGCTTTTTGTTTTAGTCGCAGTTTTAATCTAACCGAATGACAATTTCTCGCTCACTTTATTTTTCTGGTGAAAATATTGGATTTTTTTTTTTCTCACCACGTAAAGATTGAGTAAAGATACAGAAACGGTTTATATATGCAAAGCTTCCGAGTCACCAACTCAGTCAGAATCATTTTGAAATTAATATGGTGACTACTATCAGTGTTGCTAGAACTCAAATTATTCCATCAATTATGTTATAAATGCAACAGTAAAAATTTTATTAAACAGTAAAATCATTGTAAAAAAATATTTTAATATTTTTCATCAATGACATACATGAAAATTTCTCAAAAATCTCGGTATCAAAAAATTTACCGTTTTTTTTTTCATCTGGCAACACTTCAGCTGAATACATATTTTTTGTTAAAAGTATTCGGAAAAATGTTATCAAAAACGCTAAAATCAGCACTATAAAGTGAAGGTCGTGAAAAATGAATAATTTTCTAGATAAAACGGTCGCTTTTTGAGCCGCCATCTTGAATTTTGAAATTTCAATCCCTATGTAGCCCATCTATTGGCGCATCCAACGCAGTTTTTATTATTTTCCTAGCGACTATAGTGACTGCGCTAGAGTCCAAAACGTGAATAGTGGGCATTAAATCTTCATACCACCGTAGCTGCCAGGGTTGCCAGGCGTAGGCAATGAAAATAGTCAAATGTGATTTCGGGATGCGCCCTCCATCGACGGATACCAATTTTCAAGTTGTAAAATTGTTCCTTTGACAGTTACAGTTTTTGGGGTAAATCTCAAAAACTACCCTAAAATCGGGTAATTTTTTTCCACCATGTGAAAGAGTCTATAGAGATGCACAATCGCTCCATACATGCCGAATACCTTCGGGGTTGCCAAGTCGGTCAAAATCGAGGTTGAATTTTAAACGTTGTTTGCTCTCAGTGTTGCCAGTCGATCGTTCTATTTTTCCCATCGGGTATCTCGAAAAGTTAAAATTCAAATATTTGCATCAAAAAAGTGCGAAATTTCGACAAAAATTGTTTCCTCAAAAATCTCACAAAGTATCAAAAATTTTCAAGATTTTTTTTCACCTGGCAACACCTCAGCTACTTGCCTAAAAATTGTTTCCCCGGAAGTAGTCTGACAAATTACGCCAAGAGCGTCAAAATCGGCTCAATGCGGTGACGATACCCAATTTTCCGGATAAAACGGCTGCTGGTTTGGCCGCCATCTTGAATTTTGAAAATCCGGCTCCGTACCGGTGTGGCCAACTCGATAGCGCATCCGATGCAGTTTATACCATTTTCCTAGTGGCAATGCCGACTGCGCTAGAGTCGACAAAGTAAAAAATGGGCAAAATTTTTCAAATCGCCGCAATCACCAGGGTTGCCAGGTGTCGACGACGAAAATAGCCAAATGTCATTTCTGGGAGCATCCTCCGTCGAAGAAATGCATTTTTGAAATCCCGAAACGGCTCCTTCTACTTTTCACCTTTTTGGGGTAAATCTCCGAAATTACCCTAAAATCGGGGAAAATTTTCACCTCGTAGGAAAGAGCCGGCGGAGACTAATGACCGGTCCATACAAGGCAAAGAGCTCCGATGTTGCCATGTGAGCTAAAAATGCGTTTGAATTTTTCGAAAAAGTGAAAAAATCACAAAATGGCCGCTGCCGGCGCCGCCATATTGATTTTCGCGAGTTTCATAATTTTCCCATAGTCACGACTATATCAGGCAAGGGACCTCATTCACAGATTTTCTCCGCTGGCCACCCAGGTTCCCAAACAATTCGGGTTATAAGGACATGTCGAAAAACACGTTTTCTACCGTGGAGCCCAGGGATGTCAGCTCGCGAAAACGAAAACTACCAAAAGTCATAGAGCTCCCCCGGCACCACACCGCACCGAGTCTGTTTTCCGCGAAAAGTGCGTATTTCGAAATTTCACTTTTCTCCCAAAATCTCCTAAACTACCACGAAAATGGTAGAAATTATTACCAACTTTAAAAGTTAGCAGCGAGCCCCATGACCGGCCCATAGAA